TAAAAACCGACTTTCCGGGTTTGGTTTCGGTTTTGCCCCCAGAAAGCGACCCAAGTGATGGGTTTTGGTCATAAGACATCCTATGTGCTCATACAAACCCTAATGCTTGGATCTAGGTTTCTCTATTGTACATGCTTTGAATCCAAGACTATAAACCCTAATTCTAGCATACATATAATCATATTAACATGAGAATAAGTTTATAGTATTACCTTGATTGTTATGTAGCAATAACAATCACAAATCTCCTTGAATTGACTTTGGAAGGCTTAGAGTCACAAGTGTCACTCCTCTAATGGTTCACAAACACCATAAGCAAGAGGATGAAGAGGAGAGAGGTTGGAGGCTTGCCAAAAACGTGTGTAAACCCTTACAAGAAGCTTAGCCACGTTTTTGAGCCTTAAGGGGTCTTTATATAGTTGGGCTATTAGGGTTATCTAACAAGGAAACCCTAATTTGGATGCTTAAGCCCTAAGCAACCCATAGACTCCTTTAATTAAGCCCATGGACCAAATTGCAATTATCTTATAATTACAATTCCAGTCCCTTAAGTTTAATTAATCTCTTTTAGTCACAAAACTAATTACCAATTAATTATTGACTAATATTAATTAAACAATATGATTTCTCCTTTAATATATTATTCTCATAATACATTAATAAATCATATTTAATCCTTACTCTCCATAAATCATCCTATCAAGTTGCTTTGGTGAAGGCAACCCAAAAGGACCATGCACCATCGGGTCAAGTACATACCAAAATAGTTATGGACTTAGACACTAATCCAACACCAACAACCCAAGAAACCGACCCCTCTTTAAAACCGAGAAACCGACCCATCAAACCTGCAAACCCGATGCTTTTTAATGATTATATATATATATATATATATATATATATATATATATATATATATATATATATATATATATATTAATTATTTAACTAATTGTTACATTTCTGGAAAATGGGTTCAAACCCAAAACCCATGGGTTTAAACCCAGAAACCGTAAGTGTATGGTTTGAACCCAACAAACCGAGAAACCGTCCAAACCGATATCAGAAATCGAGAAACCGAACCGACCAGAAACCGACCCTATTGGGTTCTGAAAACCAGAAACCGATCATTTACGGGTTGGGTTGGGGTCCAAAACCGACCAAACCGACCCATGCACAGCCCTATTAGGTAGGCCAATCATGTAGGGACACTACAAATTTCCCTTTCCTATGTTTGAGTACCATGTGTTGGTTGGGGAAGCAAAAGGGTGGCAAATAAAAAAAAATGCATTTTTTTTTCTCAAAGTATACTACGATTGTTTGATATTAAGAACGTATGTGACAAAACTAATTGATTGTTGATAGCTAAAATGTAACATCCAAACTTTTGCCAGGTATCATGTAAATTGAATTTTGTTAAATTGTGAGGGGGACTCGGCGAGTTGGAGCTCAGACTCGCCGAGTAGAGACGCGGATTGGTCGATGGATCGCGCCCGAACTCGGCGAGTCCAGGATATGGACTCGGCGAGTCTGCGCTGTGTAGCGAAACCCTAAATTTCCGGGTTTGAGACCTATTTAAAGGGCCTTATGGCCGTCATTTGTGCTCACCCAACCCTTAGAGAGAAACCCTTGAGTGCTTGGACGATTTGAGAGAGAAAGGAGCATGTCTTGACCTTGTGGGTGCCATTTAGCAAAGAAGGAGGTGATCCTAGGCAAGAGGAAGCAAAGGAGGTTGCTATTTCGTGGATTTGGAGCCTAGATCATCAATCTAGAGGTATGATTTCGGTTTATATTCTGTTTGGTGAAGTATTATGCGATTTAGGGCTTTTGTGGACATTTATGGGATGATTTGATGCCCAATGGTTCCCTCCTTGTGCTGAGGTTTTGGATCTGGACCCATAGAGGTCCAGAGAGCCTCACTCATCAAGCTTTTTGTATGACAATGGAGTTCATGACCTTGTGTTGTAGTATTTGAGTCAAAAACATCATATATGGTCATATAGAGGTTGTATGTGCATCAAGATTGTAACTTTACGTGATAAATGAGCTTGGAAGGACTGGATCTATGGGTTAATGGATTGGATCTGACCTTATGAGCAAGTTTGAGTCATTGCATGGCACGGACTCGCCGAGTCCGAAGAACAGACTCGACGAGTAGCATGAATGTTGCCCGACCACACAGTGAGTGGTCTCGCCGAGTTGGGAAGGGTGGACTCAGTGGGTCAGGGGGGAGTCAGAGTGGACAGGTGGACTGAATCAAACTGGACTCGCCGAGTTGTTCTTGAGACTCGGCGAGTTGAGTCGTGGTGGCCCCACAACTCATGCCAGGTGGAACTCGTCGAGTTGGGAGAATGCTCGACGTGTCAAGGGAGGATCCCAGGGAAATTGGTGTATACGCTCAGACTCGCCGAGTCGCTATAGCGTACTCGCCGAGTCCGGTCAAAGTTGACCGTTGACCGTTGACCAGCGTTGACCTAAGTTGACTTGTTATAGTATGGTCAACCCTAGTTGGGAAAGTGTTAATTAGAGATGTATTGTGCTATAGAGGGACTATAGCTCGGCAGATCGAGTGATTAGCGATTTCAGATTTACGACTTACCGAGACACACGAGGTGAGTCTTCTCATTATACTTTACCTTGAGTAGGTAACCAGAGTTATGCGATAGAGTATTGGTATGCTATGTATGTTACGTATTGTACTGCATTATTTCTATGTGTGATTTATGTGGTGCATATTTATCAGAGTTAGAACCTGAGGGTTCACAGAGTTTGGGTGCACAGACCCACAGAGTTATAGCCTCGAGTGCTAATATGTGTTATATGTGGTATTTTGGGGAACTCACTAAGCCTTGTGCTTACAGTGTTTGATGTTATTGTTTCAGGTACTAGTGACGATCGCGGGAAGGCGCCGGCTTGATCCGTACACACACACGCTCGGAGTTTGATATTATGATCTTGGGATTTTGTATTGTATTGTTTGGATAATTAAATGGTTGTTTTTATGAATATCGATGGAATTATGTTTTATAAAAATTGAAAAAATTTGTTTTGAAATTTACGATGTTACATAAAAGTTGATTGTTTGACACTTGTATTTGTGCAAAAGTGTATTGACAAAAGTAATTATTAATGTAAAATTACATAAAAACAAAAGCTAAAAGCTCGAAAAAAAAACTATTTGAAATAACTTTTAGATTAAGAGTTTTTTATTTAAAATAAAAGTTAAAAGCTCTTATAGGTTGCTGTGCAAACAAAGTTTATTTATTTTTTATTTTTTTCTATTATAGGTTGCTGTGCAAACAAAGTTTATTTATTTTTTATTTTTTTCTATTATTCTTTTTTAAATGCTATAAGCGCCCAAATTAAAACTCTTAAAAGTTAGGTACCATACACACCTAAATGTTGTTTTAGAAAGAAAAAAGGCAGGCATATTAAAATGTTTACTTATAGATTATAAGAATCAATAAACTAGTTTGATTACATCCCAACTTTTGTTACGTGATATAATTTTTGAAGTCCTATTTGGTGATAGAATCATAGACGTGTTTGAACTAGTCATAATCCAATTATAAAGTTTCTTATCTATTAATTTATTATACCCTTTAAACGCCGTACAAAGTCGAACTTGTAATATAAAAAGTTTACATTCAAAGTTAACAAGAATATCCACATCAAGTAGTTTTAGATAAAAAGTTACCATAAAGAAGAGGTACATGGAGCAAGGAGTTCGACAGTTTGTAACACCCAAATCTTAACCCATCAAAAACACCGGATCATTTGCTTTAAAAAGATAAAATTTCAAGTGCATAAGATTATCATATGACATTCACCATGTCTTTACAACATTCTATATTAATTACACAAGGTTCTAGTTGTATTATACATACAAACATCAAGAAACTGAATTATATATCACATGAACAAAAGTTACAAAACCATGTGAGCATATAGTGAATATCCATGGAAAAGAATCCACTAACCTCATCAAGCTGCGACCACAGTGACAACATGTGCATGAGGGGCTTTCTCATCATCGAAAGGCAAGTTGATGTAGTTGTGAGCAACCCCATCGGCCATCTTAATGGCCAATTCACCATGGAAAGTCTTGCAGTACATATACAGCACAGTGTTGGCAGCAGTGCTCCATAGCAAAAACCACATCAACATGCTCGAACCAAGAATCATCGGCAATAATGCATAGGTTTGGCTACTCATCGCATGAAGAGCGTCGGAATTCACCCACACAGTACACCCAAGAAAAACCCCAAAATACAACAAAAGCCACAACGAAACTGATCTCATACCCTTCACCAAATACCAGCTCCTGATCAAAGGCGCAAATCCCCATTTCGATTCAGCCACAACGACCACAAAAGCCAAAGACCAGTTCATGTGGACATAAAGTATGATTACTATTAACGTCGCACCTACGACGGCTGAAAACCACGTGAAGTGAATCGAGTTGTAATCGATTAATACAAACCCGAGGTTCTGTCCCAACATAACGATTGCCCCAACAAACAGGAGGAAAGTCAACGAGATCAGGAAGAGAAGAACGAGAGCTACACATGCGGTCGAAACGAGCGGGAAGAAGGAGAAGGTTAGGGAGTTGAGGGCGACGAAGAACTTGATCGGCTTACCGGAGAAACCATGGTATGTACTGTAGGTGATCGTCGCTATGGCACAGAGGGCGAGAACGTAAACGATTAGGATGTAGAGGAGATTAGAAACTACAGGTTTTTGATGGTTTGGGGGAAACTTACGGAAGTGATCGGAGGTGAAGAAGTTGCCGGAGAGGCTGAGGGTAGGGTTGATGATGAGAGAGAAAGAGAGAGGGAGGAAGAGGAAAGATAAGGCGAGGAAGTGGCTGTAGTTGGCTCTGAAGATCCTCTTTGACTCGGAGAGGACGGCATCTAGATCCAGGGTCCGCACAGGCGTGTCCATTGAGCGGCAGTTCACAGTGGTTGTTGTCAATCGCGGCGGGGTAAAAGGATTTATTGATGACTGAGTTCTGTTGATATTATACAGTAAGTCCAGGTTAACTGTTCTAAGCCATTGGCGAACAAAGTCATAAAAATATTAATACAAAAAGTCAAAAGCTTTAATACTATAAAAAGTAAAACGAAAAACGGCATGAACAGGGCTTCACACGTACAACCTTTGCCCATGTGGTGTATCTTTTATAGTTATTTGTATTTGTAAGGTGATTTTTAAAGTGTTTTGCAAAAATGGAGTGAATCCAAATTCACTTTTCAAAACTAGGAAAATTTTAAGAGTTTTTCACGAAACTAATCATAAAGGCTTGGATCTTAAGTTTAGATAAACATCAAAATCTCACTTATTCGTAATGAACTACAATCCTCATTGAGATAAAGTTCGCGAACTCACCATTTCTTTTGTTATATTAAAAATGGGTTTTATAACCCAATAATATTGTAGTTGTGCGGATGCTGTTCCCTTGGGTCGTCTACCTAGCTATTTCTTTTAATTACTTAAACTTGTGTTTTTTCTTACAAAAAAAAAAAAAAAAATTTAGTGTTCCATGACGAATTGAATACGTTAACTCACATTATTTTTTATAAGATATTATATTAAATAAAAAACATGATCACATATATGTACAACCATTGCATGTTTTATTAGAAACGGGTCTCATTGGAATAAATCCATATATGGACTCCTACTTATTATTCCTTATATATATTATTTATTGCGGTCGAGATTATAGATATGATCACATACTATATATCTCATTAGATGCTTGGACCTTAACAAACCCAAACTCAAATGGAGCACCACCGGAAGCAAGACGTGTGACACCGTTATATGAGTAAAGGCTTATGTTAAAGCAAGTCTCAGGACAATACTGAAGCATGTAGGTAGGAGGCCTAAACACCCTGTCTGGACCTATTGGCCTATACCTCACAACCTGAAAAAATCCGACAAAACCACCACCAGTTGTAATCAAGTTTGAAGGAGCCTCTGCTTCAGCATCCGAAATGGTCCAAGATGTCGACGCCTCACATTCACCCACAGGAGGCCCAGAATCAATACCGATGCGTGATGACTGGAGATATAACTGTCGAGTAAGCTGAGAAAAGTAGAACCCGTCTCCTAGTTTATCATCCGATGGATCAAGCACCACGTCAAGTGGACAAATTTTCTCACCATCAACACTGTCGGTTAACTTGATTCTGCCACGCGTGGTTGGGACGGGGTAGTCACTACCTTCCATCGGGATGATGTAGTATTTCCCACCATTTCTCACGAGCTCTCCGCTGATGTCTACAACATCGTCAGAGACGACTGTAGGAATGGAGGAGATTGAGCATGTAGTCACGATGATGAAGAGACGTAGGAGAACAGAAGAAAGTGATGGCTTCATGTTTTTGATTGATGTGTAAATCTAGTTGTAAGGTTATAGAGGAAGAGGTATCAGTATTTATAGGCCTACATGAGTTTTTGCAAAAAAGGGCAATTTTCAGAACCATTTGCAAATCTAGTTTCTTTTTTATTTACTTTACAAAAATGGGGTGGTGACCCCACAAAGCCACCACGAGATTCGTGTATTTTACACTTCAAACCCTTTAAACTTCAAGTTTTTGTATTCAATTTACATATTTGATAATACATAACATTTAGATACATTTTTAAGCTGTAACTTTATTTTAGATTCACTGAAAATATCATAAAAACCATTAAGTTTTCAAGCTTTTATTTGAAAATCACTGTTATATTTTAATATGAAAAACCAAAACCTTACCAAAGCAAAAAAAAAAAAAAAAAAAAGGAAAAAAAGAAAGGAAAATCAATTATTTTTAAAAGTATGAGTAATTTTTCTGAAAAAAAAATGAAGCAGTGGTTTTTCAAACAAAAACTTCAAAACATAGTTGTTTTTATGATATTTCCCCATAGATTATATTATCATTATTTTTTGGAAACTTTTCATTTTGACGTTGACCGATCACACAAATATTTTAAAAGGTAGAAGCTTAAAATGAAATATATATATATATATATATATATATATATATATATATATATATATATATATATATATATATATATATATATATATATATATATATATATATATATATATATACATGCTAAAGACAAGAGTCCAATCCTTCTTATGAATATTCTATCTCATATGTACACATTTTAAGATGTTATGAAAAGGAAAAAAATCTGTTAATACATAAATATGTTAAATAAAATAAAAATTAATAACAATAAAATTAGCTTTAATGGAGAGAATAGTTTAATGTCAAAATTTCGATTTCGAGGAATTTAGTGCGCATATGATCTCGATGAAAAAGAACAATGATTTTAAAAATATATATGTTAAAAACCCTAAACAGATAAAATGACTATTAAGGATGCAGTTTAAAAAAAGAGTAAATTACACGAATGGTCCCTATGGTTTAGGGTAATTTGCACGTTTGATCCCTAACTTATTTTTTTAACTCGGAAGGTTCCTACTGTTTGTTATTACTACACATTTGGTCCCTATTGTTTGTTTTTGTTACATGTTTGGTCCCTATCTTACGTAAAAAGACAATTATTTAAATAGAGAAAAATGATAGAGTAGGTAAGCTAAGGAGAGAGGATGAAATTGATGGTGTGTTTATTTAAATAAATTAAAAAATCAAGGAAAAAATAGATTTTTATGTAAGATAGGGACCAAGCGTGTAACAAAAACAAACAGTAGGGACCTTCCGAGTTAAAAAAATAAGTTAGGGACCAAATACGCAAGTTACCCTAAACCATAAGGATCATTCGTGTAATTTACCCTTAAAAAAAATAGCATAAAAAAACGTGGTCTAATGGTGCAACATATAAAACTTGGCATAAAAAAGGTGTGGATCTGGTAGAACCACATTAAATGCCCCATTAAGATCCGCCAGTGGTTATACAAAACCACACCACAAATATGTTAAATGATGTGGTTGTGTTGAATAATGTGATTTCAAATACAAAGGCATTAATATAAAAACACATCACACTATTAAATTTGTTGTGTACTAATTAGTTAATTCGCATAATTAACATATTTAAAAAATACTCATTATACAATATGAATTGAAACTTAATAAAAATTTACTGCTTCTAATTAAATTAAATATCGAGAATACTAAAAAAAAAATACACACAGTAACCATTTTTGAGGAAATAAAGAAAAACATTAAATTAATTTTAAATTATAGAATAGGAATAGGAATAAATGATATTGTCAATATAAATAGTAATATATATATATATATATATATATATATATATATATATATATATATATATATATATATATATATATATATACTTACGTTATTATATTCAAAGTAATTATTTTATTATTGTATGCATAAATGTGGGTCAATCATTTTACTTATTTTAAGAAAATGATAAATACATATTATTGAATTAAATATAATCAAAAAATACTATCTAATTTAACTAGAAGGGTATTTTAGTCGATTAATATAAACTTAATAAAGGAAATTTGCATATTTTAAGGGATCATAGATTCTATTATTTTAAAAATTCGATTTTACGAATTATAAAGTTTTTAATTCAGACATTATGACAGAATATGTTTAAGTATGTTCAAAAATAAAAATATTCTAAAACCATAAAATAATAAAAATATTCTTGAACATATTTCTTGATCATGACTTTAAAAAATTCTTATAGAATAATAATTTCTCGAACCAGCAATTGAAGAATTAAAACAAAAATTACATTAATTCTTATAGAATATATGTACCAATTGCTAAGAATTACATTTAGGGAAATCTTCAGAAAAGTCCCAATATTTACGGAAAAGTTACACTTTAGTCCCAAGATTTTTTTTTTTGAACGAAAAAGTCCTGAAAACCGGCAAAAATTTGCAGTTTGACCCTTTTTGACCGGTTGAAACCGGTACCAAACTAATTTGGGACTATTTCGTAAACTAATCCAAAATATTGGGATTTTTCAGTAAACAAAAAATATTAGGACTTTTCTATAAACAAAACCTTAATTATTATTATTGTTATTATTATTATTATTATTATTATTATTATTATTATTATTATTATTATTATTATTATTATTATTATTAAAAATATAAATAAGAATACTATTTTTTGAACTTGTTATTTTTAATATTATTACTAATACATATAAATGCATTAAATGAAAAAAATATTATTAATAACATTGTTTAAGGGTGGAGGTGGAGGAGATGGTGATGTTTTTAGTATTGAAATCGTGAATGTCTACTTGTATATTTTTACTTTGTATATGGTCATTTCATATTTGTTATTATTGTTTTCAATTCAGAATATTAATATTTAACAATTTGAAAGAAGTTGCATATTAATAGTTTAAGGTAGTAGAGTTTCTCATTTTGTATATAAAATTGTTTAAGGTTGAAGAATTACTTTCCAAATCCAACAAATCCACTACAAACATCTACATAAGTAACCTATATTAAAATTCAAAAGTATTAATTACAATATTTTGTTTAACAAAAAGTAATAGGAATAATTCAAAAGTATTATTCAAAATTCAAAAGTATTAATCCAAAAAACATGTCCTATTACTTTTTATTGAACAAGATATTGTAATTAATATTTTTGAATTTTGATATGGGCTACCTATGTAGATATTTGTAGTGGATCTGTTGGATTTGGAAAATAATCCTTCTACTGTAAACATTTTTATATACAAAGTGAGAAATCCTTCTAACTTAAACTATTTATAAAGAATTTTACAAATATGCAACTTCTTTTAAATTGTTAAGTATTATTATTTTTAATTGAAAACAATAACAACAAATGTGAAATGGCCATATAAAAAGTAAAAATATACAAGCAAACATGCATGATTTCAATGCTAAAGGCAGCAACATCTCCTCCACCTCCACCCTTAAACAATGTCATTAATATTATTTTTTCATTTAAATACATTTATATGTATTAGTAACAATATTAATAATAACAAGTTCAAAAAAAAGTATTCTTATTTATATTTTTAATAATAATAATAATAATAATAATAATAATAATAATAATAATAATAATGATGATGATGATGATGATGATGATGATGATGATGATGATGATGATAATAATAATAATAATAATAATAATAATAATAATAATAATTATAATAATAACAATAATAATAATTAAGGTTTTGTTTATAGAAAAGTCCTAATATTTTTGTTTACAGAAAAGTCATAATATTTTTTGTTTACTGAAAAATCCCAATATTTTGGATTAGTTTACGAAATAGTCCCAAATTAGTTTGGTACCGGTTTCAACCGGTCAAAAAGGGTCAAACTGCAAATTTTTGCCGGTTTTCAGGACTTTTTCGTTCAAAAAAAAAATCTTGGGACTAAAGTGTAAGTTTTCCGTAAATATTGGGACTTTTCTGAAGATTTCCCTTACATTTATTGTTAAAGAATAAAACTAAAGAAATTTCAAATCGTGAAAAAAACAGTAAAATCTAACAAATACACTAATTCATTCTAAAAGAATAATGTTGCTAAGAGGCATCGTTCAGATTTCGTGGTCCGTTCTTCAAGCATCAGCTTCTGTGGAAACAAATCCAATGAATAAATTAGTGAGAAAATATTCATATTCAATTCCAACATCATTGGAATTCGTGATTCCAGTATGATACAATTGGAGTTTATTTACCAACAGTTATATTAATTCAGGACATTCTAATAGAATATGTTAATGATTATCATAAAAACATTCTTTCTGATAGAATACTATAACCAAAGAAATACCATTCAGTAGAAATACCATCTTAATTTCATAGTCTTGAAAAGATGAGGTACAAGAAATGTAATTTCACTAAAAAGCAATGAATTAAACTAAACCAATGTAAACCTTTATGGTAATAGAGTCAAGAGGTATCATTTCAGCAGTAGGTTGATCCCATTCACTATGGGCATTGAGTATAAAAGTAAGAAAATGTTTGTTTTTATAATCTTGTTCAAAATACTAAAATATATACATGGTCAACCAAGTCTGTCAATGTCATTTTCGTAATTAACTCTTCAATGAAGAACCCATTTCCCTAGAAGGTTACATCCTACAATTAGTTGCCGATTTTCCTCATCCTTACCACTGTCTAATCTGATTAGTATCTTTCCTTCCACCTGTAATTGATATTGAAAAGACCATGAGACCAATATATTTACATTATAGTTTCTTTCTTGTAACTTTTTTCTCCATCCTCCATTGCCTAAAATGAGTTGCATTTTGATTTGTTATGTTAAACATTGCATCGCACAACAAATTGAAATGAAACGTTTTGCAAATTTGACATCAAAACTATTCTACTTTAACTTTAGTAATTGTTATCATAGCAGATTTAACAATTGGA